AAGCAGTGGTATCAACGCAGAGTACTTTTTGGCGGACACAGAAACTCATTGTTTTCAATGTAATTTCTCCTATCAATGTACTCAGTGAAAGGCAACGCTTTCGCTTTTTCATGAACTTTGACGATGTATTAAACGCGATGGTTAGATCGAAGCATATAAAAGGAAAGATGCTAAACAGCTTCATTCTTTGTGCATATGTCATAATTCGCTATTTTAGCCGAGCTCTTACTAAAATCTTAGATTTTTTCATTACATACGCTTTCTGAAATAACTCAGCATGCGATGTTCCCAGCAAGGCTTCGCACACCAACAGATTTGCGCACTTGTCAGCGAACTTTCATAATAGCATGTTCTGCCACTTTGCAGAGCAAAAAGAAAAATTACAAGAATCAAAATACTTTACCAAGATGTCAGCACTCTTCCTTCCAAATTTATATTCCATAGTCTACTGTCAGTTGCGCAAGTGCTATAGTACAAAGAGAATAGCAATAAGAAAGTCTGTTGGGCATCGCTGAGTCACCTTTTGGCCTGAGTAAGCGCTCCATGGTTCCGTGTAATCAGTCCCGATTTCAAAGTTATTGTAACGTGTTTAGGCAATGAAGATGTCAATTGTTAGAGCATACCATCGCTTGATGCGCGAAAAACTTGCGGGAATGCTAAAACTTGTCTTCAAGAGTTTCATGACCTGTGCGTTCACCTCCTATGATCAAGGGGTCGAGAACGACTGCCCGTAAAATCGTTTTTGCCCTATTTACAAATTGCGAACATCAAGGTTACGAAGAGCAGCTCAAAATTGTTTCAAAACTATAGATGGATTTATTTACCATACTTCTCTATAGTTCGAAAATAGGCCGCGATATAAAAACAATTTGATTTATTTTTGGTGGTAGGAAAAGTGAGGTTTAAAAATCAACTTGTTAGGCACTTCAAAAAGCAGATTTGAAGATTTGAAGTGGAAAATGGATGCAAAGATGTTAGAACATTTTTCTATTTTTCATCCTTGATAATACACCTAGTAGACAAGCCACACATTGCTAAAGCGCTATAAAAGTTGCATTACTGTGTCAGAGCGTGGTGCTTGGGAGCAGTTTTGCCGCCTTGCATCTAGATTCTTATTTTCTTGCTATTAATAGCTCGGCACCATTTATGGAGCGGTGAAACAAAATCTTTCAGATTCCGACTTTCCTAAGTTCAGTCGCCAGAAATCTGAACCAGAATCCCTCACCAGGGTTTCAAATGTTAAGCCGAAGATTTATGAGCAAAAAGCAAAGGGGTATCCTTCTTTCAAGCGAATGGAGGTACGCATTGCTTGCTAAGTTGGCATCTTGTCAAGCTCGTGGAGCACGTGTTTTTTCCAATGAGCTTATCAAGCGAAGTGAGTGGAAGAAGCTAACATAGTAAGACCGTGGTTTGCAGTGCATACCCTTACAATTGGGTGAAAAGACAATATCGTAAATGCTTGTTCATATGCTCGTATCATCTACGCCACTCAACTCATAACTTACAACGAACAAGCGGAGGCCTTAGTCCAAACCGGCGGCCGGCTGTAGCAAAATCTAAGAGTCTAGGAGCCTTCAGCCGCTGTTGAGGGCGGATTGTGGCCGACCCTTGCTGAGATAATCGCCGGGGACACGTAGTCTGCAAACTCGGGCTTTTCTACAAGCGGTAGGCCAAATTTTGGAGCGCGGCCAAACTTTCAGCGAGCGATATCTCCTTCACAGTCGCATATTGGTTTGTTATATAAATATTTAGTATATATAAATATTATATATATTATATATAATACAATATTCATATTTTTAGTTTAGGTCTAATCAATTTGCCCTTTTCTATTACAGCTTGTTGACTTGCTCTAGCTGAAACACAAAAAGTGAAGCTCATTGATTCTCTCGGAGTCATTTAACTCTCCCCGAAATCATTTGGGCAAGGTTCTTTAGTACTATTCCATGAACCGAGCCCCGCTTTGCTTATTTTATTAAGAGCAATTTGTGCTGGCAAACGAGTTGGTATGATTACCACTCCTAGATCACAGTAGCTTAGTATATACTCACTTATGAGCTATCCATTCACTGCAATGTTACTGCTATTCAATTAAGTCACTGCAATCTGCTCAGCATACTGGTTTGGTGAGATTACACAGTATATACCATCAAGCCGTTTGATTGTTAAAATCAAAATTGTTTTGCTGGCAAAAAAGGGGGCATGGGTCCATCTCCATGAAACACACTAATTCAATTCTGTTGACTACAGTCTTAGGGCAGTCACAAACAGGCTTTTATCATACTTCCAATAATCCAGTATGACATTTTAGACCCAAACTACATGATGAATTATCGCGGTATTAAAGTATGAGTAACTGTATATTCTGTTTTTTTTTTCATGGAACGCCTAGAGCGTATGAAATAAATAAATAAATAAATATTCTGCCAGCGGGCAGCAAAACAGAGTTTTCTGTAAGCGCTCGTCAAATAATTTCTTCAGCGAGCGCTCTGATTTTTTTGCGCGCCTGTCTGACTTTTGTTACGCAGCTTCGGGCGTATGCCAAGCAAAAGTAACACTCTATAGAGGCAAGAGATGTCATCGTTGGTTTCTTACCCAAGTATGAGGTACTTTTTATCAATGAAAGGTGTCTACGGGCTGTGCGGCCCTTCAAAGAACCGCGCGGCCCCCAACAAATTTGCATTTCGCGCTGAAACTCCGCGAAAATGCGGCCACTATGTCACAACTAAGCAAGGAAAAAAGTAGCGATTGTTATGAGCGTTGGTTACAAAAGTAGCCAACTCTTCCGAATTCTGCAGCGGGTGGTTATGTAAGCGAAGTTTAGGTGCTGTTTAACGATTCCGTGAAGTGTCAACTTCTAAAAAGTAATAATGTAATGATAATTGGCATTTGCGTTTGCTAAAAAACGTCTGCTCAGTGAAAGAAAGCAGGTCCATAGATCTCATGTCCCCACTGTTCTGAATTTCATTGAGTTTAGAATTTGCAAATAAAGGAAAGTTAAAAGTTCAGCATTTTTCTTTATCGCTTCTATCTTCGCGAAATAGGCGTAAGGTAAGAAAGCTGTTCAGGCTTGCTAAAGCTCATAATCTTATTGTTTCACTTTCTATCTCCTATCTTGCCAATATGTGGAAAAGAGTTTACTGTATCAATATACTGCAAAATTGCGTGAAATCGTGGAACTAAGATTTTTTTTGAAAAGAAGTGATAAGATTCTTGGTTCTAAACTGCCAGATAAAACGAATCTCGTATCAGTCAAAGTCTGTCATGATTCTTTTGAAGTCGCCATCCGCTTGATAAATCATATGCTGTATAATTAAATTTTTTCAGCATGATGTTTATCTTCAAACTCTTTCTCATAGCGCTTTTGGCGTGTTTTCTTGAAGGAAAAAGAGAAATAGTTCAAAGTAAGAAAAAAGATGTCGGAAAGGATGTCTCTCAACAACTTCTTGGAAATCTAAGAACAAGCGAGGATGGTTCTGCAGTCAAATCGGTAAAAGAAGTTAAAAGCGAAGGAGATGATTTCAGAAGAGATTTCCTCAAACGAGTTTTTGGAAATCTACATTCAAGCGACGGTGTCTCTTTTGAAAAAAACACGGTAAGTAGACTTATTTTCTTACAGATTTCTTTATAGAATTTCTACTTTTCAGCCTCTAGTTACGTGTCTCACAGAATGTATTAACGGCCAGCAGAAAACACACGAAGGAAAAAATGGAGAAAAGGATTCAGAAACATCTGTCTCCTCTGACAATAAGACAGCAGAACAGGGAGAAGGCAAACAAGTGCTTAATACCCAGTAACCCGACTTGAACTCCATTTTAAGTCTCTCTCGAATAAAATGATGTTGGCCTCAATCTGAGTTACAGCAGATTTGAAGCGTACTAACTTCCAGAAATCAAAAAAAAATGAAAATGATTTTCTCCCGAGTAGAATACTATGCATTCCCGAAAATTGTGGGGATTAAATGGAAATCATAAGCTTGAAAAAGACGAACGCAGACTACGCTGACACTGGATATCCCTGTAGCAAACATGACAACTAACTGGCGTACCCGGCTCAGCCCGACCTTGTCAATAAACTACTATAGAGATCGTCAAACCCTATATCCGCACAGCATTTTCCTGTTCCGATCTCACCACTACATGCCTGTACCCTCCTTGCCTTCACTATGTCTCCGTAGTATACATGCTCGAATTTCTAACAATTTTGTGCCAACTTTCAGCCCCAGCTCAAGCTTTTCAAGATTGGGTATGTTGAAAACTGATATTACGTAATTAGCATGCTCATTTACCTCCTGTGTCAACTCAGGACCGTAGCCCCCTACAAACTCAATGAAATCGATAAAGGTAGTCGATGTTAAATAAACGATGTATTCGTAACCAACGTTTTCACTTACCCGGCTTGTGCCGAATCTCAGCCTCGTAACTGAGTTTGCAAAAAATAAATAAAATCTATATCGATTAATAACGCTTTATTTGTGTTGGTGTAATCATAATAATAGATTAGTTCCATCTCAATGTTTTCCACGACCACTCCGGACTTTGTAAAAAGAGTACTACGATAGTATCCCACATACCTTGTCGCAGTCCTCTCACAGAGTTTATCGCGGGTGTCGATTAGCTTCTGCAGAAACCACTTGTTTTTACGACGCAAGTGATTTAGAAACAAGGTTGCATCATCGTTACGTGGTCACCGTATGGAAATCCTAGTTTGTTCTAATTACCATGCGGAATGAGCACCGAATCTGATGTCATATAGCTCTGCTTGGCTCTGTAAATTAGCCACTTGCTCACCACCCAGCACAGCAATTACTGGTTTGATGACGCTTCAGCAATTACATGCTACAAACTTTTCAAATTAGACGACCATTATATACATGCGGCCCTTAGCAAAAATTTACATAAGTATCTGTTGTCTCGCTTGCCTTCTCTACGATCCGGGAATCCTTGAGTGGGGTTGACGAAGACCAGAGGCGGTGTGCATCAATCTCCCGTTTTGAAAGCGGGCGATCATTTTTAATCTTATATATAAAGCTGAATGTCTGTTTGTCTGTATGTATGTATGTATGTCTGTATGTATGTACGTATGTTCCGAATAGAAAATTCCATTTCTGAACCGATCCGGACCAAACTTGGCACACATACTACGGGCCCCGGCGGGTGTCATAGGCTACTTTTCGTCATCGATCGATATCGATTTTACCGATTTTTATCGATTTTTTTGCTGAGTTCACCTACGGGGCTGGGAGTTGGCACAGGGGGGTAATCGAGCATGGGGATTCCGAAGACAATATTGGTTTTCAGGATTATCGATTACTTTTATCGATTTTTTTGCAAAGTTTGAGCTACGGGGCTGGGAGTTCGCACAGGGGGGTAATCGAGCATGGGGATTCCGAATACAATATTGGCTTTCAGGATTATCGATTACTTTTATCGATTTTATCGATTTTTTTGCAAAGTTTGAGCTAGGGGGCTGGGAGTTGGCACAGGGGGGTAATCGAGCATGCTGATCATCCCCAAGAGGGGTGATCAGCATGCTCGATTACACCTTCGTGCCAAATTCCAGCCCCCTAGCTCAAATTTTCAAAAAATCGATAAAATTGATAAAAGTAATGGACGGTCTTGAAAACTAATATTGTATTCGTAATCTGCATGCTCGATTACCCCCCTGTGCCAACTCCTAGCCCTGTAGGTGAACTCTGCAAAAAAATCGATAAAAATCGGTAAAATCGACATCGATCGATAACGAAAAGTGGACTGTGACACCCGCCGGGCCCGAAGTGTATGTGTGCCAAGTTTGGTCCGGATACGGCGGAGCCGGGTAAGCCAGCTAGTAAAATATATCACCCGGCCGGGTTGAGCGCCCGACCAGTGATGTATGATTTCTATTGAAAATGATCGCCCGCTTTCGAAACGGGAAATTGATGCATACCGCCCCAAGTGAAGAAGTCGCAACCAATTCTACAGCCTTAACCATAATGTTTTACACCAAGCTTTAGATTCCACTAGCAGTAAATTTGATGTGAAAGTGATTGATACAGACAGCAGTATGCCATTATTTGCAGCGTAGAACGCTGAATCCAAATCTGTGTCCCTCATTATTAAACACCTTAAGGACGGACTTGTGAGCAGTTTTATTGTTGAGAAATGTAAATATAATTCCGAAAACAAGCACACTATTATCTTTTTAGCACAACTTTACCTCATTAGGTTATCCAAAAAATAAACCCATTCTTGATAAATTGAGCTGCCTTTCTAGTAGACTTAAAGGCAGTGGCTCGGCAAATCCTCGACCTGTTTTTTGCTTTTCTAGAATAATTCGACGCGCTGATTCTGAAAATCTAACTTAGAGATCCCAAAATGCGAAAACGCGCATCTTCAACCTCTCTTTTTAAATTTGGATGACTGGAACACTTCCCGACAAAGTTTGCTACGCACACTCGGTGCGGAAACTTTGTGGTTATAGCACTGCGGCATGCCGCCTCTGACGGTTGGAAACAGCAAGCTCGCCCGACGTGCAAGAATGGCTTGCGCGCACGGGTTTGGGGGCAGTTTTCTAGGCAGGGGAAGCACGCTGTGCGCTCGGACCTGCTCTGTTCTCATGTTTGAGGCGCAAGCAGCATCCCATTTCAAAATTTCGAGATGTTCAGTTTTGCCGAGCCACTGTTATTAAAGCATCCTTTGATGGAGGTAAGCAAGCTCTATAAAGACCACCAAATACCATCTAAGTCGTAATCTAGGTGAAATTTGGAGCCAAAAATCAAAATTTTTTAGCTACCCTAAAAAGCAGATCCCCTTCCAGAAAATCCCTACGGACTTTCGAGTTTGTCTTTATATACTAGACACATACCCAAAAATGTATTTTCTGGTTTTTTCCGAGCTCAAAATTGAGAAACAAAAATGTTCCGAAAATGCCAAAATGGCACTTTTTTCAGGTTTTTTTAAAAGTAAATCTTTGTAGTTCTTGATTATAAGAGCACATACTCGGATAAAGTTTCGAAATTATGCTCAGTAAGGCTTATAAAGGGCGGTTCATAATTACTTATTATTGATTACGAACATTCAAAATTTTGTAAGTTTCCGGACTTTTTGGGAGAAACTCAAAAAGCCGTTGGCACCACGCGATAGAACACAGCCGAAAACGGTATATGATCCATAAGAATGGAAATCGATGCCAACTGTAGGAGTATTTTTGCGCCTAATGCGAATTTTCAGCGGTTCAAAATTATACGAACACCTCAAACGAAGGTCTATTATTTATTCAAGATTGCAATCGTTTGACTCCAAATTTTTTGAAGAGTTACAGTAGCAAAGTCTGAATACCTGCTACACGCTAAACCCAGTGCACTTCAAAACGAGGACCGTTACTTTTTTCAGACGCTCTAATTAGCTTCTACCAAAGCTATGAGATAAAATAAGCTTTTTCAATAGGTACTTTGTTTGACGCTTGGAAAATCTTCGCCTTTTCGTGCCGTTTTTCAACCAAGTTCCAACCTTACCACAGAGTTAGCACGATTTCGAGCCTCAAAACTCAGCTTCTCTCTTGCGCAAACATTTGATATGAAGCAGCTGCATTGTTTGCATGATGATGTTTCTGTGCCAGAGTTTTTGGGTTTTTTTAGAACTGATCTTGCGGCTGTGGAGCTACAAACCAAATAAAGGTGTGAATGCAATAGTAAAGACAGTGTTTCTGGTGAAATGACGTCTGCCGTGACCAAAACAAACGCTCAACGCTGCTGTTTTTTTCTAGCCAAATATAAAGTCTTGTGAATTCTACATACTATATGCTTACTTCATTGTACGGTTTCAGAAGCTGAATTTTGAGGCTCAAAATTGTGCTAACTTTGTGGTAAGGTCGGAACTTGGTTGAAAAACGGCACGAAAACGCAAAAATTTTCCAAGCGTCAAACAAAATATTCATTGAAAAAGCTTTTTATCTCGAAGCCTTGGTAGAAGCTAATTAGAATGCGTAAACCACAGAGGAACGGATGTTTTTGGAGCGCAATCACTCCAAAAGCATTTAGAGCCTTCTGAAAAAAGTAACGATCCTCGTTTTGAACTGCACTGGGTTTAGTGTATAGCAGATATGTCAGACTTTGTTACTGTAACTTTTCAAAAAATTTGGACTCAAACGCGATTGCAATCTTGAATGAAAAATGGACCTTTGTTTGAGGTGTCCGTATAATTATGAACCGCTAAAAATACGCATTAGGCGCAAAAATACTCCTACAAAAGACATCGATTTCCATTCTTATGGATCATATACCATTTTCGCTCTGTTCTATCGCGTGGTACCAATAACTTTTTAAGTTCCTCCCAAAAAGTCCAAAAACTTACGAAATTTTGGGTGTTCGTACAATTATGAACCGCACTTTATTAGCTTGATATAAAAGTTCTGCCGCTTTTATTTCGAAGAAATCGTAATTGCTCCCTTATGTGAGCACATAAGTTTACAAAAAATACCTCAAGATAGAATTTATCTACCTTCTAATCACATCTTTGCTGCACTTTGACGACAAAAGACTGCAGAGATAATAGGAATAGGAGAACTACTGAAACTCTTGATTTTCGAAAATAAATCGTCAAAAATCTAAAATGTGCAGGAAAAATCTGGGATCACATTCTTCAAAGGTTTTGTGAGCTGCTCTTTTCAATGGTACCAGGATAGTGCTGATCGAGCATTTCTACGATTGAAAAGAGCAGCTCACAAAACCTTCAAGAAACATGATCCCAGTTCTGCAGCATTTCAGATTTTTGACGATTTGTTTTCGAAAATCACGGTTTTATATAACCCTTACTAA